GTGATAAGTTCAGCAATGGTTTGTTCGCTTGAGCCTATGATTAAGATGTCGTCGACGTAGACTAGAAGAAAAATGCGATTGCTGTTCTGAGTGAATGTAAGCAGAGATGGATCGGCTCTACTGTGCTGAAATCCTATGCGTAGTAGATGCTCGGTAAATGTGGTATACCATTGCCGGGGGGCTTGTTTAAGCCCGTAAATTGCTTTGCGAAGTTTACAGATATGGGTTGGATGCACGGAGTCTTCGAATCCGATGGGTTGCCGCATATACACCGTTTCCTTGAGCGTGCCATGGAGAAAGGCATTTGCAACATCAAGTTGCTGTACCTGCCATCCGAAGTGAAGAGCGACAGCAAACATGATTCGAATTGTTGGAAGCTTAGCTACTGGACTGAAGGTTTCATCGTAGTCCAGGCCAAGCTCTTGTCTGTTACCCTGCGCAACCAGCCGAGCTTTAAATCTGGCTATGGAGCCGTCGGAGTTATATTTCTTTCTAAAAGTCCATTTGCAGCCGAGTATCGAAGCTTTTGCCGGCTGCGGAATCAGTTCCCATGTGCCCTGTTGTTGTAGAGCTAAGAATTCGTCAGCCATAGCTTTGCGCCACTCGTGATGTTTGTTTGCTTCAGCAAATGTAGTAGGATCTGAACTGATTTCAGATGCAGTGGTAGAGTGCAGAAGGTTCATTTTGGATGTCAGTTTGAGTGATCCCGTTTGAAAACACGTGATCATGGGATGGCGTTGTCGAGGAGCTGGAAGTTGAGATATATTCTCAGTTGGTGGAGAGCTTGGAGTAATGGTACGAGTGACAGAGTGTAACCGAGAATTATGATTGAGTGAGAGAGATGAGTGTGGTTGGGTGGTGCTGGGATGAGACGCGTATTGTTGTTGCACTGTTGAGGCTGGTATGAGAATAGACGGTGGTATTTCCTGTTCAGAACATAATGGTGAAGCATGAGTTTGAGCAAATGGAAATGAATTTTCAATAAATTTAACATTGCGAGATATAATGATCCGATTTGTGTCTCTGTGTAGGCATTTGTATCCTTTTTGGTGCTGAGCATAGCCAATGAATACACATGAGGCAGCAGTCGGCTGCAGTTTATTTCTGGACTGCGGTGGTAACAGTGGGAAGCACTCACACCCAAATGTCCTGAAATGAGAATATTCAGGATTAATATTAAACATGAGTTTTAGAGGAGCAATGTTATTCGTATTAGGAGTAGGAAGACGATTAATAAGATAGACTGCAGTAGATGCAGCATCTGTCCAAAATTCGAGAGGTAAAGATGCCGTCTGGATGAGTGTTCTTGCTGTTTCCATTATATGTCGATGTTTACGTTCTGCTACACCGTTTTGCTCCGGTGTGTATGGACATGATGTTTGATGAAGTATGCCTTGAGATTGTAGAAAAATTTTAAACGTGTGGTTTATGAATTCCCCGCCTCCATCTGTTCTAAGTGCTTTAATTTTTCGATCTGTCTGCCGTTCTATAAAAGTGATAAAGTCAATAAAAATTCGAGTTGCATCAGATTTATATGCTAAAGGAAATAACCAACAGAATCTAGAAAAATCATCCACACAGAGTAAGTAATAGCGAAAAGCATTGCGTGAGGAGACCGGAGAGGGTCCCCATACATCAGAATGAATGAGATCTAACGGTTTCATTGTTCTGTGTACAGATCTCTCGAAAGGGAGTTTATGACTCTTACAGACATTACAATGAACACAAGAATTAAAGAATTTTGGTATATGAAGTAGAGGATTCGTAGAAGCAATAGTTTGAGTAATCCGAAGATGAGGATGGACTAATCTTTGATGCCAATTGATTCCTTCCCGTTGAGTAGCAGTCATAGCTGAGTGTTGAGCCGGATCATTCCTAATTGTGAGCGGGTATAGGCCATTCTTACATGGTCCTTGAAGAATGATTTTGTTTGACTGTAAATCCTTAAACACATAACCGTTAGGAGAAAATGTAATAGAAATTTGATTTGTGGACACCAAATTCGAAATGGAAATCAAGTTGTGAGAGATTTCTGGAGTATGAATTAAATTGGTTAGAAATAACTTACGGTCGGGGGTGGGAAGAATACCAGACCCGGAATGAGCGATTGGTATTGTTCTGCCGTCCCCCACGATAACATGATCGGAGCCGTTATATGTCGTCGCTTGATCAAGATTCTCGAAACGATTTGTCATATGGGTAGACGCTCCTGAATCCAGATACCAATCAGTGGACGAGGTGTCAGCTGTGGCAAGCATGGCGGTGGGTTGCTCGGATGAAGGTTTCGGAGTTATGTAATTTGCATTGTGACGATGCCAGCAAATGTCCGCTGTATGGCCACGTTTAGTGCAAATCTGACATTGTAGCGACGTTCTTGCTGTGTTCTTGGTTGTTCCTGTTGATGACTGGATGTTTTTACCTCGACCGCGCCCACGGTTATTTCGAGCCCTGTTCGTGTATAGAGCTGTAGGAGCTTCGGAGTTGATAGCCAGGCGATGAAGATCTGCCTGAATGTGAATTTCTTCACTTATCAAGAGAGCATAAAGAGTCTCTAGAGTCATGCTGGATTGCATTGTACGAACAGTAGTTTTGAATGATTGATATGCCGGTGAGAGGCCGTTGAGGATGTGGAGTATGATATCCTCTGTATCAATGGTAGCTCCCGCCGACGCAATATTATCTACCAGTTTCTTGATTTCGGATAGGTAGTTCTGCATCGAGAGATTTTTCATGGAGATAGTGTGTAACTCGTTCTTTAGTTGAATTACCTTCGATCTGCAGGACGATTGGAATCTTGTTTGTAGCGCAATCCAGATTTCATGTGAAGTTTCGAGATGCATGACGTATGGTAGAACGGGCGCGGAAATAGTTGAACAGAGAGCCGCCGCTAGGTTCTGGTCAGTGATGATCCAGGTATTTGATTCATCGGCTTCATGATCGGAGAGTGTTTGCGAGTCTGTATGGGCCGCTGCTAGATCAAGAAACTTTGCAAACCCATTTGCCTTGAATACTTTGAGAATCTGCGTTCTCCAGATCGGATAGGTATCCGATGTCAGTTGATGGGGTACCAATGTTTTTAGATTTGAAACTACAAATTTGAGTGACGGGTAGATCGGAGAGGTGTCGTTGGACACGGCGCTGCTTCCGGCGGTCGCGGAAGATGTTTCTGCCGGTGTCGCCATTCTGCGGAGAGGGCCAAGGTGTTACCTGGTCGCTGATACCATGAAGAATTAAAGAAAGCAGAGAAGAGGAACTCTGTTCAAGAAGACAGAGGAATGAGAAGAAGAAGAAGTTGTATTCATTAATTCTGATTACAGGGTATATAAAGATAACAGCCACATACGTGTCCTACAGCTATTGGATACAGTGAATATAAATGCCGTTACATATGAGCTAATACTGATAACAATTTTTCTAACCTCCGTTACCTGTCGATTGAAATCCTTCATATCACCGTCACCCACCTACAAACTTTTTGACCTACGTCGCCTATCAACTATGGTCTTTTCAACCAAACAAACATGTCAATGCTAATTCTTCCAATTCCCACCATATAATGCATTCTATATCATGTTTGCTACATTAAGCCAAGGCCTTGCCCCCAAAGGGTCTCATTTGTAATCAACTGCAAATACTAGTGGATTCATTCAAATTGGGTCAAGCCAGTGGGGTTTTTCCCTTTTAGGGGTTTCCACATAAACACTATAGTGTCTCTTATGAATGCTACACCATTCTCTTTCATCTAATTGATTGTTGAATCTTCATACAAAGCTAAGTGTCCACATTTTTAAATATTGGAACGTCCTATAAATTTTAAAATGTTAAAAAAAAAGTTGAAATTTTATGTATATATATCATTAGGGGTGTCAATTTCGGATCACGGGTCTGGTTCGGGTCGAACCCGAAACTGATCCGGGTTCAAACGGGTCAGAAATTTGAACCCGGACCCGACCCGAGTAGGTAAACGGGTCGGAAATTCGATCCCGGGCCCGACTCGGTGGGTTGACTGGTTGACCCGACCCGACCCCGACCTGACGAGGCAGAGAAGGACCTCAGGGTTTCACGAGCTTCGAGTGCGGCAGCGGGCAGGCGGTGCGAAGGCGCGAGCGCGGCACGCGGCAACACTGGGTTTTCGGCAGTGGGCGGGGGCAAGTGGGCGCGACGAGCCAGTGTGGGCGCAGCGGGGTAGCGGGCAGCGCGGGTGGGTGCAACGGGTAGCCGAGTCGGGGGCAGCGGAATTCAAAATTTTTTAAATAAAAGTGGCGTTTTCAGGTTGACCCGGTAACCCGCTGAGGTCAACCCGAACCCAACCCGTTTTTTTCAAGCGGGTCGAATCTGCAAAACCCGACCCGACCCAATTTTTTAAACGGGTTGGGGTCACCCGAATTTTTTGAGTTAAATTTTTCGTGTTGTGTCAAATTTGGACGACCCATATATTATATTATGTGCACTTGGAATGAGTGGGTAACCCAATTCGGGACCAAAACTACAAAATTTCTTTCCAGAAAAAAAAAGAGAGACAAAATCGGCAATGTCCGCACGTCCCGTTTCGCCAGATTTATCCGATTGTTTGACAAAACCTCACTTTGACCCACTTACCGTGGGGTTTCCCATTCATCCATAGGGAAGGTAGGTGTCGTTTCGGTGCATTAATAAATTGCAGCTGTTCGCGGTAAGCACGGATTTGTGTGATCTGGGGTTGGAGGGGGGCTTTGACTGATCCGACGTGGCATTATTGGAGGCCTACCTGTCCTAGACCCGGCGAGCCTCCCCGTCCGTCCTCCTCTCTGCTCCTGGGGATTTTGACTCTCCCTTCGGGCAACGGGCAGCCCCGTTCAGGTCAGACTTCTCTGCTTTCTGAAACTGAGATATCCTTCTTCCATTTTGCGTTCTCTGGCTTATTCCTCCTCTCGAGGGTGGAATGAGGAAAAATATTAAGCGGTGAGAAAAGGAAGAGAAGAAGAGGAAGAAGAAATACTCATTCTTTTGGATCAGAAGGGAGGATAGCGACTGGAATCTTCTTGCTTATCTTCTTTGGGGATCGTAGCCGCCGGATCCGTGCCGCGGCGGAGATCTAGTGGGCGGTGCTTTGACCGGAAATGGTTCGACGGCGAATGCTGGATTTCAGAGGGTATTGGATGGATCTGACGGAGTAGAGATGGCTGTGAGGCGGGGGAGGAGTATGGAGGAGGCAGTGGAGGTGGCGTGGGTTGTATGGCTGATCTTAGTGGTCAACCCCGTGTTTAGGGTTTTGGCCAACCTGGAAGGTTAGTTTTGTGCTTTTATTTTTTTTATTTTTCCTTTCAATGTTCTCTTGTTTGGTGGTGTGTTTGAGATCGGGGATTTGTTTAATTTTTTTAGATTTGGCGGGGAGAATGCTTGAATGGGTGCTAGATTTGTGTTCGAGGTGAAAGGGATATGGGAGATTTGTGGTAGTTCAATGTGGTTGATGAATGAAATTCCGGTGAAGCATGCTTGGTGTTAAGATTTTGAGCATTTCCTGTCACATTGGTTGGAGTATAGTTGTTAATATGAAGAAGAGCTTGTAGGAACTGGGCAGCTTGAGTGATTTAGTAGGGAATGTTTAGGGCTGACGCATTTTGTATTGGATATGGTTTCCTTCTTTAAAAAAAATCAAAGGCTCAATAATGAAGAAATTTGAGGGTCTTCAAGCAGGGAAGGGAGATAAGATTCGGACCCTGCTTCTTTATTGTTAGCTTTCTTCGACATTTCACGTTTATTTGGCTTGAGAAAACTTGGATGTCAAATGGAAATAGTCTACTATGTTGCTATATATTTTTTTTTTTAGCCATCTATTTTGCCTATAACTGATCGTACAGGGAGATATCTGATCATGTTTCATCTTCAAGGCTAGTAAATTTGTAGAGATATGTTCTAATTAGAAGTTATTTCTTGCAACTACCATGTTTCTTGCCTTGAGATATCAAAATTGAGTTGAATCTTTAATGATTTTGAGTTTGGGGATATTATTAATAGAAGTCAAGTTGGATTGTTGAAGTGGAGGAATGCATCAAGCCTGTTATGTGATAGAAAAGTACCCCTCAAACTTAAGTGAAAATTCTATAAGATGGTGGTGAGGCCTACATTGTTTTATGACGTAGAATATTGGCCATTAAAAGAGAAGCATAAAATTAAGTTAACAGTTGCAGAGTTGAGGATGCTCAAGTGGATGAGTGGATTTACTCTTAGAGATAGAATGTAAAACGAGCATGTACGTGAAAATGTTGGAGTAGCTCCAGTGAAAGATAAGATTAGAGAGAGTCGCCTTAGATGATTTGGTCACATAGAAAGCCGAACTTCCGTTGACCTGGTTAGGAGAGTAAATATATTAGATTTAACCTATGTTAAGAAATGTAGAGGCAGACCTGAAAGACTTGGTCAGAAAATATTAAAAATGATGTTTTTATTAGATTTAAATGAGAATTTGTCACTTAATATGACACAGTGGAGAGAAATGATTCATGTAACCAAGCCTACGTAGTGGGATAATGGCTTGATGTTGTTTTTGTTGTTGAGTTTGTCAGATGAATTTGTTATTGCAGGAGTTATAGTTTTTAAAACTTTACGGTTTCCTATAAAAAATCATTCCAATCAACCCAAATCTCAAAGATACTTGACAAGGGTAGATCAGAGCTTGCAAGAAGTATCAAAGGGTGTCAAAAGACGTAGCATAGGAGCCCTTTGTGAAAAAGTTCTTCCTTTCCTTAAATGATGATCTTGGATGAAACATCTCCTTCTCATACCACTTGTTAAGGTTGCCTACCTTAGCCTTATCGACCTGTGGCTTTGAAGATGCCACCAACATTATGATGATTGAGAGATTCATAATCCTTTAAACAATAATGTTAAAGAAACAAGAAAAAAAGTTGCAATTGTAGTTCTTATTCTATGGTGCTACTACTAAATGAGTATGGGAATGACCCTCTATTTCCCCCATTTACCAAGTAAAGTTGTGCTAGCTTGAGTGTCCTACATGACTAGCATTTATCATAGTAATATTACACCACTTGGTACTGCAAACATTATAACCTCTTTGGATCTTAATTAGGCTTTTAAGGCTCCTCGTTGTACACTAAAAAAATTTATGAAGTGGTTGTAGCCACCATCCCTTTCTATGATCTTTAGAATGATTTTTCTACCCTCTTATACCAAGGATGAAGGTGCACCTCTCGTCGTCATCACCTATATTAGTCATTTCCCGCCTTCATTTGCTTCTTGTAATGATCATGCATCCTTGGCTGAGGCATAACAGCTGCCAAAGATGCTTTTCCCAATCATGATCATGATAACTATAGGTTTAAGATAGCAAATTGAAAAATAATTAGTTTGGAACTCTTACTCCCATACCAATAGGTATGGCTTATTCGAGGCTGACCAAGTACATGCTAATCATCAATTAAAGATGCAAAAATCCCAAGTTGGATGTGCTCGAACATACCTTACTCTTTGCAAATGAATGGCTTATCAGTAATTATGATCCCCTTATGCTTCTTGAGGCCAACCTAATGTTTGTTTCCATTTATTTTAGAAATTCTAGTTAATAATTTTTAATAATCTAGAGATTAAATTAGTCAATTGTGCCTCCATTTTAGTACTAAAAGTATTTTGGTAATTGCATGGTTTTTAGACTTGAATTTCAAACTTTTCTTGTCTTGTCTAGAGTCCTTTCACAAATGTTATAATGACATCATTATTGTGAGTTTTTTTTTTCATTGTAGCCTTTCTTAAATTCTAGGTGAAAGTAGAGAAGTTATTGGACTCTAAGAAAGGTAACCCCTCTATAATTGTAAAATAGGACATTTTTGGATTATTTAGATTATTTTAGTGGTACATGCTTCTCCTAAGGGCAAAGGTAAGCTAACTTCATTCCTTTGTTTATTTTATATTGAAAAAGGTCTTAATCATCATCATAATCTCCTTGATTCTGCTAAAAGGCGATGCATATCTAACATGCTATAGTTTGACATCATTTGCCAAACATCCCTTTTGACTAAACGTGTAAACAAGTCAAATTCGAGTTAATGCCACACTTGGCTCGATATCAACTCAACTAATTTTCCTGAAGCTTGAGCTCAAGCTTATTAATGAACTTAAGCTCAATGAGTGGAGTTGGGGTCAGGGTCTTTGAGTAGACCGAGGGAATTGATATAAGAGTTGTTATAGGAGTTATATGAGGTGGTGGTGCTAATTGAACTAGAGGAGGAGACGTGGTGCATACCGTGTAGAAATGGGAAGAGTAGCTGGAGGTAGAATTCTCGAGTATAGGGAGGTAGAGGGATAGAGATAAGTTATTATAGTTTTTAAGTCTTATATATGTTATATGATCTTATATATATGAGTTGGCTCAATGAGCTCTTGAGTCGAGTAATAAGTATTAAGAAATCAAATTTGACTTATGTGCTTTTTATTACAATTTAATAAGAGCCCATTAATGAGCTGAGCTTACAAGCTAAATTGACTCACTTGCAACCCTGTTCATGACTCTATTGGCTTATACTTAATAACCTTTGTCGTTCAAGTGGATCTGCTAGATAATCCTAAAATGTATGGAGTAGATCAATTGTTCTTCCGACATGGATATCAAAGTTGACAATTTGTGAATGGTTGCTGGATTGGACTCTCTTATAATCACCTTTCCTAATACCTAGAAATTCCTTTGCACGTAGTATAAGTAGAAACTAGAACATATATTTTTAGCGTTCTCATAATTTTAAATCAAGAGTCAATTCAATTTATCCCAAGCTATAGGCAAATGCTAAGAAAGTGAGCCAATCCTAAGGAATCTAGGAGTGGGAATGAGTTAATTTTTAGACAACTCGATACTGGTTCGAGATTAGCATGCTCAAATTATAGGCGCCTCAAATTAGCTTGTGGTTGATTGAGTTTAATTTCGATCAAGCGTAGATAGAGTTTGTTCAATTATGAGTTGGCAGCAAACATTAGGGAAGCTAATTGATCATCAGCATGATCTGGGAGCTATGATGCACGGACACGGACACGGCGACACGGACACGACACGACACAGACATGTGACACGGCTTTTTTTGAAAATATAGGACACGGTACGGCGCGGACACGGCAATACATTTTTTTATATAGTGTATATATATTAATGTAATATCATATTAAAAATGACATACAATAATAAATGAATGCATGATAACTTTTCTAGCTTATAATATAAAATATTTAGTACAAAATGTCTAGTACAACCATAAAAATATAAACAAATAATCACTTACTACAACATCAAGCATTCAAGCTTCAACTACTAGGATTAGCTTTAGAGGTTTGTTTTTAGCATTTAATATCATCATCATTGAATATCACTGCTATTAACTCTGGTTCAACAAGAAAAAGATTTGTAATTGTGCAAAAAGACAGGAGATGAAAATACCTTCACTGCCAAAGAGAAATAAAAATGAGAATATTCGATGAAGGGTATTAAATGCAGATGTTGATTTGGTGTTGTGGATAGAAAATAAGAAATTTAGTTTAAATCTCGCCAAAATAAGAAATTATATTTAAAAAAAATTATAAAATATTTAAGATACGCGTGTCGGACACGCGTGTCCAATTTGTTTTTAATATTTTTTTAATCGGACACGTTTTCGGCGTGTCCGACACGTGTCAGAGGAGTGTCGGACACGGTGTCGGACACTGCACGCCTCTTTGAGGAGAAGTGTCGGTGCATCATAGTCTGGGAGTGAGAACAGGCTAATTTTTGGTCAATTTGGCATTGACTCGATATCAACTTACTAATATGTTTGTGGATCAAATGAGTTCGTGATGTGAAACCAGGAATTGTTTCTTAGGAATTAATGAAATTAATTTAGAGCAATGATAAGACAATTTAATGCTTCTCAAATTTAACAAATCAATAAAGATCTTAGAAGTTAACAATGCCTAGGTAAGTCGTTACAACTAAGTTTGCAAGATCTTTAAAATAACAACCTCAATCAAAAAGTAATGAAATGATTAGCCAACTAGAATCCGGCGGTTAACAAAGCGATCGTCTCACCTCGAGGCTCAAAGTCACTCTTCTATGTGTAGGGTTGTCGGAGGAAGAAGAACCACACAAGAAACGAGATCACTCCAAGGTAGACGGCGCCGACGATCCGTAGAGATGGAGATGGAGGCGTAGGTTGTGGAGGTGGCAAGGGAGGATGACCGTCAATGATCCACTCGTAGTCTGCAAATTGGCCTTCGATGATGTGCACAAGGGTGGGGAGGATTCGATCCAAGTAACCTTCAACTGTGTCGTCGTGGTCAAACCCCACGTCGAAGAATGGAGATCGAAGAACGTGGATGTTTCCGTAGACAATACGAGTACGCCTTCAAGTTCAGGATCCACCATGCATCCTTTGCATGTAGATGAGAGAGCAAGGTGAGAGAACCCAAGAGAGGAGGGTTCGGGTGAGAGAGAGGAGAGAGGGGGTCGGGTGGGCTAAGGGTATTGAGAAAATTAGAATTCTGAATTGGAATTCTAATTAGGTGGGATGGGGAAAATTGATTTGAGAATTCAAATTATTTCCCAAAGGAGGGGGCCGGCGGTTTATGAGGAGTTAGGGGAGTTTAATGGAGAGGTAATTAATGTAATGGAGAGAGAAAACCCAAGAGAGGGGGTTTGGCCAAGCATAGAGGGGGAGAGGGAATTAATATTAATTAAGTTGGGCCCAAGGTAGAATAAATAAATCCTAATCAAATCTGAAATTGTAATTTCAGATTTAATTATGGGTTAAGTAACTTCCCAAATTGATTTGAATTGAGAGGGAAATAGAATTCGAATTTCAAATAGGTCTAAATGCTATTGATTGCCTTGCCTTAATAGGGGTTATTAATTAGGCAATCAATTAGAGCACAGAGATTTTGAAATTTGAATGGACTTGGGGTCAAAAGCTAGGGGTGTCATATTTGACACACACGAACAACCCGACCCGAGACCCGACCCGGAAAATGCGGGAGTTGGACCCGACCCGTTTGATAAACGGGTCGGGTTCCTGGTTTAGGGGTCTTGCAGATCAAAACCCTTTAATAAAACGGGTCGGGTCGGCGTTGACCGGCGGAGTTTTTGCCGGTCAACCGAAAACCCACTTTAATTAAAAAAATGAATTTTCACCGCTTCCAATCCCGCTGGCTTGCCCGATGCCCTGCCGCGCTGCCGCCTGCCGCGTGCCCGCGGGCCCCGCGGCTGCCAGCTGCCCGCAGTGCCCGGCTGCCCCGCGGTTGCCCGCGCCTCGCTGCGCGTGCCGCGCGCTGCTGCCGCTGCCGCGTGCCGCGCTGCCGCCCGCTGCCGCGTTGTCGCGCGCCTCGCTGCGCCTGCAGCGTGCCGCGCACCGCGACGTCGCCGCTACCTGCGGCTTATTCCGGTGCCGGGCTTTTGGGGCCCTCGCCAAGGCCGCGAGTTTGGGGAAAAAACCGGGTCCGGTCGTGTCGGCGTCAACCCGTGACCCGCTCGGTCGGGTCCGGTTGGAATGTTCGACCCGTTTATAAAACGGGTCGAGGTTCGGGTTGACCTTTTATATACGGGTCGGGTCGGGTTCGACCCGAACCCGACGGTTGACCGAATGACACCCCTTAGTCAAAAGGGGGAGCCGGCGGCAAGGGAGGAGGCCAGGTAACTGCAGGCGGCTTGGCTACCAGCCGTGAGGGCTGGGATCGGCAGGGGGGGGGGCTACTAGGGAGAATACATGGGTGGTGGCCAACGACCTGGAGGGTTGGCTGGACGGCGGGAGGTGGCAGCCAAGTGGCCGGCGGCTTGGGAGGCTTAGGGGTAGGCGGCGGCAAGGGCAAGGGGAGGAAGAGAGGGAATTTTCTAGGGATTCGAGCGGCTCCGAATTCACTAACCTCAAATTTCTTCAATCCAGATTTCCACACTATTAACTTGGACGAATACTAGAACTCACAAAGAGATTTAGTTCCTCCGACGAACTCACTAAGAGATCTTGGAAGAATGAACTCACAAAGAGAACAAAAAGCAAATTTTCATTTTATCAAAAACTAAACTCAAATACAATGACATAGCCTACATATAGGCCAACCGAAAATAAAAGTCATAATGACGACATTGCCCTTGGGCTATAATAAACACTAACTCACTCATAGGGGTACAAATGGAAAACAGGAAATATAAAATGACATGAATAAAATAAAACATCAAAAATAAAGACTCTGAATCATGGTCGTCGCTCGACGACCCCTCCAATGGTACGTGTGCCGAAATCTTCTATGGATGTCCTCATCAGATCGGTTTCAATCCAACTGTTACCTAACTTGAAATAATGTTGAGCCATATCAAAATACATATAACAAGCATTCCAAGCTAAGTAGAGAGACGAATATCAAAAATAAAAGTTTTATAGGCATGTCTATTAATTGCATTTTTTCACCATCATTTGGCTTCCCACGTAGAACTTCATTATCTAAGTTCTATTTTATTGATTTTATTTCTCAGAATGTTGCTTGTTTTCTTTATTTCTTGATGAAATTATTCTTTTTCAACAGGTGATGCATTGCACAGTTTACGAACAAACTTGAATGATCCTAATAATGTTCTTCAAAGCTGGGATCCCACCCTGGTTAATCCGTGCACATGGTTTCATGTTACATGCAACAATGATAATAGTGTAATTAGAGTGTAAGAAATGGACCATGTTTTGCACTGATAGAAAATACATGGACTACTTTTTAGCTGATGATTTGTACCATGTTTATTTCATCTAGTGATCTTGGGAATGCAGCATTGTCTGGAACGCTAGTCCCCCAGCTTGGTCAGCTTAAAAATCTGCAATACCTGTAAGTCGTATTATAAAATGCAGCATCCTTGTGCAAGTTGTCACTTCTTAGCATATGATGCATTTTACTAGCTTTCCATATTTTCTATATTTTATATGTTCTTTTGAATCTCCTTCCTCTGAAAAAGCTGAAGTCTACGTTATTATTTTCAGATAAAAAATATGATTTTAGACCGATTTGGCGATACCTATATATTTCTATTCTTGCTGGATATCTATTACTTGTTTCAGAGGTTACCATCTTACTTGACATACATATTGCATTGCTCAACTAGTTGAATATCTCATGCTGGGCATATAAGGAATATGGTTCAGTCTTTTGATTGCAACACTTCGTTAAGTTTGCTACACGTGTTTGGGTTCCAATGTGGAAAATCTGCAACTTACTCTTATAGACTTCGGTAAAGATGCTCTAATTATATTCAAGAAAAGAAAAACTAGTTCATAGGAAAAGAGGGTTTTAGGATATTGGAAAGATCAGGATTATAGGTTTGTTTATTTCTCTTGCATGACAGTAATGCTTCTGCTACCAATGATGGTTTTATAGACAGCTTATGGCCACCATGTTTCAGACTGTTTTAGCTTATGATTCTAGTCAGTCGAGTAAAGAAGAAATATTCTTTACCTTTTCTAGAGTATAAACCCTAGCTCTATCTGTATATCATTTATGGCATAAATTTTAACCTTGGCTACCTGTGTATATAATATTAAAGAAGTGGTTCTAAGCACTTCTGTTCTCTGTTCTCTGTTCTCTGTTCTCATTGTCATTCTTTCTTTATCTCTCATGGATTTTTTTCCAAGTTATTTAGATGCCCTTTAATTACCCATTTCCATGCTGTTGGTGGCGCTTGGTTGTGCTCTCTGTTTCGATACTTTTGCTGATTTTATTGATACTACATTGTTTTATCTAATGATAGAGCCTGAAGTTTCATGGTAATATTAGAAACTTTGTAAAGATAAAATCAGTTGGTAATTAGTATGTGGAAGGTGTTGAACAGCTAGTTAACTTCAACTATGTAGATGCCCTAAAATCAGATTTACCTTATGAGAAGGTATTATTTGGATCTATTTTATTTCAATTATTTATCCTATCTGTAAATAAATATGTGAATTTTTTATGGCTTAGTGGATCCAACGTGAAATTGTTAGCTTTTGCTTTTTAAGCAACGTAGTAGACGAAAGTAATGTCTAGAAGCTTTGCAAAAGGGAAGTGACAAATGAAGTTAATTTGTCAAGTAGCTTTGAATAGACATTAATTAAGGATTCATCCAAATTATTATTATTATTATTATTATTGAAATAAGGCTAATGATGTTTATAAAGAGTGTTTTTTATCTTCAAATTTTGCAATTCTGTGCCAATATAATTCCTTTGCATAAAATATGATAAAAAATTGACCAGCTTTTAACAGTTGAAGGCAACAAAGCCAAATTACCTGTAGATGGAATAATTGAATCTGAGTCTTGGTGGCAGTTTGTAGGAAAAAGAGATTCTTGAAGACAAGCTAATGATTTTTTTAATTGTGTGATGTTGAAATTGAAACTGACATAATTAAAGAAAAAATGCATAATTTGCCTATGCCTTTTGTTATTAGTGAATTGATTCATTCCTGTTGGTTCTTGCAAATCCTTCATCATAATTGGGATGTGCTTTTAGAACCTAATATTTGATTTCTGCATTTATTAACATTTTTCTATGATGTTTAAAGTCCATACCTTTAGCTGTCGTGTTTGAGGGGTTTTGACTTTTTGATTCCACGAGCGACAGTAATGTAGTTTTGCATCTGATGCATGTTTTTAAATGCCACTGAGCTTGTCTTTTTTAAGGCTAGTTTTTGAATATTAAAGCATGATCTTGATCCGAAATTTGGATATTGGTTTCAAGTGGTTTTCTTTTTTTTTTTGGGTTTCTATCCTTGAGGAAACCATGCTTTAGAAACGTTGATGTGACTAAATCAGGTTTTGAACCTTAAACATAGTTGTTTGGTATGGTTTAGTTTACCACCAGGCAACCTGTGGCTTTTCGTTGATTCCTTTGTCTTTTTATTTTTTTGGTTTTAAACTTTTTTGTTAATAATTAGGACATTAGAAATATCCAAAAGTTTTGATAACATAAAAATAACAGCTAAGCATTTATATTTGTGTTGTAAAGGTCAAATATAAAAAATGATAATGGATATTATCAATTATCTCTTGGAAAGCAATTTAGATGTAGCACAGTGTGAACTTAGTGTAATATTCAATTGTTAGTGCGATCTATCCTCGTGATCTCTTTTTTTGAAAGATGTTTTGTTTGAATTTGATCAAGAAGTATGTTGTTTCTTTTAATTAGTAAAATTATAGTTCACCCACCCCGGAATCTAGATGTTAAGTAGTTAAAGCTTGCAGTTTTGATGAGAGAATTAAGCAAAGGCAGTAAGATTTGATTCAGAAGTTGCAGTGGGATAAGCTAAGCTAGTTCTGCATACTTAATATTTCTTTTAAGCAATTAGATCTTTCTACGGGTGCCATTCCATCACAATTATCATCTTTGCTCAGCTTCACTTATACAAATCTTAATGACATTTATTAAACTTTGTACAATTAAATATCAAAGTATTCCAGTAAGGTGGTACATTTTGAAAAAGAATAATGCCCGTTTTACCACTTGTAAGTATCTGATAACAATTATTTTGAGAAATTATTAGATCGATAAAGTTCTTCTCATTGCACTATGTTAATAGTTGATTAAGTTCTTTATGATTTAGGTCATTTTTGTTGTATATGAATATAACTGAAACTTTTACGAGTAATTTTAGACTGAAGTCCTTGAGCTTGGTGGGGGTGATAATTTGATATGTTTTTTCAAGTATGATTTTCTTTTTGTATATAATTCCAAACGTTCTTCTCTTATGGTAAGAATGCCTAAAGATATAAATTAGGGAGTTAACCAATAATAACCTTCGAATATTTCTTGCTGGGATTCTATGATTTGTCTTGTTGAAGTGTTATTGACTTTTTTCTATCATGTGATGACAGGGAACTTTACAGTAACAATATTAGTGGATTAATCCCTCCAGAACTTGGAAATTTGACGAGCTTGGTGAGCTTGGATTTGTACCTGAATAATTTTACTGGTGGCATACCAGATTCATTGGGAAATCTGTCAAAATTGCGCTTCCTGTATGGCTGCTGATGTTTGTTTTTACTCATACTTCTGGTTACTTTGTTTTGTCTATTGTAACAGTTTGGTGAATTTACTAATTGTAGCAGAGATAGTCATGACATCATCCTAATACATGTTTAAAATATAATATATTGTGGCTTAGACATTGTTAGCATTTTTTTAAATTTCAAATTAGTTGTCATTTTAATTAAAAGCGAGGTAATGCCTTAAAGCCAATCAATAGGCCTCTTTACTCTGTGCTTGAGACCTGGCTTTGATGTAAGCTAGCTTAGTTTAACTCAAGGCTTCCCACTTGAGGCAACTCTTATATGCAACCTCTATTGCAAGATGCGAACTTTCACAATAAGAGAGGGACACTTCAGAATTAAGCCTCATGAAGAAGGCGCCCTATAGCACATAACTCACCCAATGAGCCTTAATATGCCTTCCCCTTAGAAAGCCTAACCTCATCTTAGACAATCGAATTGACTATGTCAATGCCTGTTAGCAAGGAGTGGTCATATATATGTGCACCTCAAAGTGCACTCAATCATATGTTGTGTCTATGAGCCAACTTCAACATGAACTGGTCAAGCTTAGTGAATTGTACTTTTGACATCCACATCCTTGAATCTTTGATCCACAATTAATTATATTGGTCCCCTCGGACCTTTTTGGGCATGATAGGTGGCCATACCATGTATCACTAGTCTGACTCCTTAGATGATATGATATTTCATCTCTCCTCATTGGTAGATCGGGTCCATCAAGTTGATCCGGTACAACAATATTATGAGATTTTGATATGTTTTATCATCTATTCTCATCAAACACCCCCAACTAAAACCCTAACTTCTGGTCGTTGCCAATCTACAACGTAGTGACATCCTTATCTAGGAGTTTTCTCGAGTATTTGCTTTAGGGTTTAAGGACGGGAGTGTGCTCATGGGAAAACTTGATCCCCAGTAATTAAAATAAAACTTGATCGCTTTCATTAGGTAGCCAGATGAAATCTTTGGGACCATATTCTCATATGCCTTATAAATTCTATGTTGCTTAACCTTCTTTTCCCGATGCTCCAAAAGTACTAGAAGGAAATAGATCGCACCATGAGCTCCTTTCAGATCATTTACCCTTATGTTCAGTTTATCTTTAGCGGTTTTTGTAGAAGTTAAAAGACTAATTTGCATTGCAGCAGCTTATCTTAGCAGTTTTCGCAAAAGTTAAAAGACTAACTTGCACTGCAGTAGCATGGAGGGATGGAGTTTTTAAATTGGAAAATGTTTTGCATTTAGCAGAATCAATTTGGTTGTGATTTGGGTGTTGCATAACCCCTAGTTCTAGCTAGCTCTATAGTAACAGCGGTAGACTGAGGGGATCATAAAGGCTTTGTAGTTTCAATTCTTAATCATTTTTGCTGATTCAAAATCCTAAAAACCATTCTGCACGCCTCATTCTCATTATTAGAAAATAGACATATCTGTTGAAGTAATTTGAAAGGGAAGCACTACTCTTTTACACAGCCGAGAACTGAGTCATGGGTTCACCACTTCAGTTTTTTTAATCTCTCTTCTTTGATATCATTATGAATATTCATTTAATTTTTTTCTTGCAACTTGTTTGGAAGGATAGTCGGCTCAACAACAATAGCTTGACGGGTACCATTCCTACGTCTTTAACCAATATAAATGCCCTCCAAGTTTTGTAAGTTTATGATAGTCTCTTCATATTTTTTCCTATCACCATTATGTGTTGTCTCCTCTGGCAGTTGAGCTTACGTTTTTCTGTCTTGTATATGCAGGGATCTTTCTAACAACAATCTATCCGGGACAGTTCCATCCACGGGGTCCTTTTCTTTGTTTACTCCTGTCAGGTATCATACTGATTATGTGAGCAAACAGACATGATCTGGAGATTCTAATTCTTTCATTCTGATTTCTAACTATATATGTTTTCATTGCCAGCTTTGCAAACAATCCTCTATTATGTGGTCCGGGAACATCTCATCCTTGTCCGGGTTCTCCTCCATTCTCCCCACCACCTCCATTTAATCCTCCAGTTACAGTCTCATCACCAGGTATTTTTTATTATCAGCTAATTGAGGCAACCATTTCTATTACATCTTGAATTAGAGCCTTATTTGTGCTATGCTTCTATTACTTTTCATGGGCATAACCACTTCATAATTTTTCATAACAATGAGCATTTGCATATTTCCCAGGAAATAGTGCCTCAAGCACCGGTGCAATTGCTGGAGGAGTTGCTGCCGGTGCTGCTTTACTTTTTGCTGCTCCAGCTATTGCTTTTGCATGGTGGCGTCGTCGGAAGCCACAAGAACATTTCTTTGATGTTCCTGGTTGGTATATAAAAGACTTTTTTTTCCAGATGATTAGAATTATTATAAACTTATAATTCGTTGCATTTTTCATTCTTTAGCTGAAGAAGATCCAGAGGTTCATTTGGGTCAGCTTAAAAGGTTCTCCCTTCGGGAGCTCCAAGTTGCAACTGACAGTTTTAGCCCCAAAAATATTCTTGGCAGAGGTGGATTTGGAAAGGTCTACAAAGGAAGGCTTGCAGATGGTTCACTAGTGGCTGTAAAGAGATTGAAGGAAGAGCGCACACCAGGGGGAGAACTCCAATTCCAGACTGAAGTTGAGATGATTAGTATGGCTGTACATCGAAACCTGCTTCGTCTACGTGGGTTTTGCATGACCCCTACCGAAAGGTTGCTTGTCTACCCATACATGGCTAATGGAAGTGTGGCATCATGCTTAAGAGGTATTAAAGCGCCGCACACAACTTTTTCTTGTTATTTTGCACTACAGTTAAGAATCATGCATCTTTATCTCCTTTTTGAATTTGAATTCTACAATTCAAAACTTCTTTTGATTGACTTGTCTGTAGAACGGCAACCAAATGAACCACCACTTGACTGGCCTACTAGAAAACAAATTGCATTGGGATCTGCAAGGGGACTTTCTTACCTGCATGACCACTGTGATCCAAAGATCATTCACCGAGATGTCAAAGCTGCAAATATCTTATTGGATGAGGAGTTCGAGGCAGTTGTTGGTGATTTTGGCTTGGCCAAATTGATGGATTACAAGGATACCCATGTAACAACTGCTGTTCGAGGAACAATTGGACATATTGCGCCAGAGTATTTATCAACAGGGAAATCTTCAGAGAAAACCGATGTTTTCGGGTATGGAATCATGCTTCTAGAGCTGATCACTGGACAAAGGGCATTTGATCTTGCTAGGCTCGCAAATGATGATGATGTCATGCTACTTGACTGGGTGAGTAGTTTTTCTTTTATATTTCATACATTTGTTTACCATTCATAAATATTGCAAAATTATTAGTCCTATTTGATCATCACTGTTGATTGTCACATTATTTATTTTAGCTTCTTTTTTAAGTATGTGACATGATATCATTCATTGGCCTTATTTATGAATGACTTTAGTTGTTTTTTTAAAGGATGCGTGTCTTAAGGGATTACAAGAGGGACACAAAAAGAAGCTAAAATTTGCATCTAGTTATAAGGCATGATGTTTTGTGAAGTACGTCATTTAGTAATATAAGTCAGGCCTTCATGATCCGAAAGATGAATTTTTTTTTGCATTGATTATGGAATATACTTACAAAAGATATTCAAATCTTGGTATCTTGATATATGCTATAGTTTGGATACATGGGATTTTTATAGTGAAAATTAGAATACTGGAGGAAACTTCTTAAAAAAAAGTGAAAGGGCTTAGGATTTTGATGAACAAAAATAACATGCATAATATGTAATTTTGATTGATGTGAAAATTGTATTTAATAAAATGTTTGGAAGGCTAATTGATACCCATGTGTGATTTGTTATGTACTTTAATTCAGTTACCAAAACAATGATGATAAAGTTGAGGGCATCATTTCTACTTGAAGATTTGTATTTAGAATGAAGAACTTCAATTTATAAAGAATATATCTTTGAGGCCTAAATATAGTTTTGAACAAAAAATGTAATCAAATTTTATATTATATGATGTTAAAATCATAACCGTCCCTTGGCCCTTAATCCCACAACCAGGATTGGGATCCGTATTTATTTGTTTCTTTATTAAGATATCTTGTATAGATCTATACATAGGGATAGTTTTGTATGATGATAAAAAAGCCTTTTTTTCCCTCTCTAATTCTCTAAATTTAACATGGTATCAGAGACATAATCCCTTTGGTTCATTTCTTCTCTCCAGCAGCGTACGCCCAATCAAGAGAACCGAGAGAAGGGAGAGTGTTTCATCCCACAGCCTCTAGGTTCGATCAAGAGAGAAGAGCAATTTGTGCGTATTGTCTGGAGGAGTCGATCGAAAGAGACGAACTTCTCCTGTGTCGTCTAGAGGAATCAATCAAGAGAGACGAACATCTCATGCATATCGTTTGGAGGAGTCAGATCGAGAGAGAGAGAGACGAACTTCCTCGTGCGTGTATTTCTGAGATGGAGATCAAGTGAGAGACAAGTAGGCCAAGTCTCTCATGCTCTCTGTTTGTGCGTGAGTTAAGACGAAGCAGAGACAGGAGTCTCTTGAACGTGCAGTCAAACCAAATGGAGGTGAAACTGGACCGGTCAAACATGCTTCGTTTACGTGGGACTTTCAGATCGAGAGTTGGGCCACTCGTGCGTGCTACCTGGAGCGGATCGTTTCATCCTTCTAGGTCACGCTTCCCACTTGTGTGAGAGCTTCTTGTCTGCGTACAACTGAGAATGGAAGGGATCGAACAAGAACTTCTTGCATGCATTTCTGAGCGAAAGATGACCCGCCCATGTCGATGAGAGACCATGCATCTGGAGAACGAGTGCGTGCGTCTGGAGAACTTTCGTCTCGTTATGTTGAAAGTGCTTTCCAACAATAGCAGCGTAGCCAAAGAGGCGGAGACGGATGCCGTCTCGCTCGACGCCGCTAATGTCAACCACATCACTGCCATTGAATCTCAACCTCTGGTTGTCTTCCTCGAGATCAGATCGAGAAAGTACGGATGTATTTTCTTGAGCTAGCTTGAGGGTGACAAAAACGCGAGATATCATAGCATGATTAAGTGACACATGGATCTGGAGATCATGTGTGCTAGGCTGGAGCGGAGGGGAGCTAAATACTCCAGTGCTGAGTTCTTTCACGATCTCCTGCTCTATGCAACAACGACGTTGTCTTCTTTGGTAAGGACTCATCAGAATCAATAGTCGTCACCCATTTATGGAAGATGGTTTCTATGGAAATGACCATGATGTTGCTGAAGCGTGCTCGTGCGAAAGCGGAGAAGGCGCCGAAGGAGGCCTCTGATACGCCCTAGGGTTTCTCAATTTCGGTTTTACTCTAATTCCCCTCAAATGAAGAGAATTTATCCACCAAATCCAAAGAAAAACAATCACAAGAGAATTGGGATGAAGAACAGAAAAACAATTCTATTAAAGTTCAAGAGAAAATAAGATAAGTTTGTCCAATTCGAGAAGGACAATATCTCCCAATACGAACTCTAGAAAAAGCAAAAAGAAAACACTAGAAAAGTTTCAATCATCATGAAGAAAAACTGAACCTAATTGCTCCCTTAATATCATCCCAAATTCATCCCCACCTCCTTAAATTACCCCTCTAAAATAGCCATATAACCTCCTTAACAACCATATAACCTCCTCAACAATCATGTAACCACCTTAACAACCATGTAACCTCCTCCAAAACAACCATGTACCTCCCCCCCATGATGCGCATGATCACATAGGTGGGCCTATGGGGCCCACCGTGGCTTCTCCTTGCTTCGCCGGCCCTCCCTCTGCCGGTTGGCGGCGGCCCGCATCAGCCTCTCTGCCGCTTACGAAGATTGTTACTAAGTTAAAGCTGAATTTGAATCTCAACAATCCACTTCCGAAGAAGAATCAATCATCAGCTTCCCTAATTGCTTGTCGGAAGTGTTGCTTCATCTCCAAGGCAGCAGCTACCACCGAGGTGGAAGTGGCTGGGAAGGTAGAGAGGGACCCTGATTCGGATTTGGGTCGGAAGGAGCGAGAGTTGGAGCGATATGGGGACAAGCAGAGCAGCATTGTTAAACCTAAGATGAAGGAGAGATCAAAGGTATTGGGAATGAGGGACCTAAGGACTAACAAGCGCCATGGTGGACTTGTTGGTTCTGTTTCTAGGAACTCTAAGCAGACTCCCACCATCAGCCTTCATTACTAGAATTCTGAATAATATTGGTCCTTCCACCTGCCTTCATTGCTGGAATTCTAAGGAATATTAGTCCTGCTTCCTTCATGCGTCCAAAACCCAGGAGAAATCAGGCGGGAGGGCTCTTCTCGCATGCAATGTCCAGAGTTGGCCGAGCAGAAGCGAGAGAAGTCAAGCGTAGGATCTCCTCTTTAGTGCGTATGAAAAGAGTTGAGAGTTCCCTCGTGAGGGTCTAGGGCTAGGACAAGCAAGAGTGCTAGACCTGCATTCTTTCCTGCGATTAGACCAGAGGGATTAGAAGCCTTGTGTGTGCCTGTACGGGGTCGATCGAACAAGAGTGTTCTGGTGGTGCCGGACGATTGATTTGCACTGGGCTGAAGGCTGGCTCAATCAAACGGGATGAGATTTGTGTGCCAAGTGCTGAGCCACTTGAGACGAATTTTTCTGTTGTTATCCTTGAAGCTTGTTGCAACCCTAAAAATAGTTTTTTTTTCTACTATCGTACCTTCATCGTCGGCCTTCCGTTGTGGTTGCTATCCTATTTACAACCAATGCAACCTTCATTGTTACCATGCTTAATATAGCCTTCATTACAACTCTTTGCCACCACAATGTCTGTAGTTAATTTCTCTCAAAGTTTTGATCAAATGGAGGACTCTATGGTGCATTAAGGGACTTGATAACTCTATTTTTTTTGGTCTAATTACCAAGCTGGGAATGACAGATATGTATTCCCCCAGTTGAGGGGAAGTGTTAAAATCTCAATTGTCCCTTCAGGATGGGGATTCGTGGGAGGCTCACGTGAATCATGTCGATCTCCTTTCACATTTGAGTGGCTGATTTAGGAAAGATTATATGCATGATTTCATATTTATTTGTTTCTTTATTAAGATATCTTTTATAAATCCATAAATATGGATAGTTTTGTATAATGATAAAAAGTTTTTTTTTCCTCTCGAAATCTCTAAATTTAACATATGAAACTGAGCATTTCACAATAAAAAATCACCCAAGTTAGAAGGCAGAAACTAGATCATGTAGAGAGATGTGCTGTAAAACTCGGCGAGATCAAATTTGAAGTAGCATCCATTGAAGACAAATGAAAGTAAATTTGTTAGATTTTGGCATGTACAAGAAAGATTGGAGGGAGGTTACCTGTAGATAGTATCAATGAGATAGGTATATAAAAAAAAAGTGCAAGACCAAATTTAATTTGGTTGATTGCTATGCAAAAAAAGTAGTGCAAAATTAGAGTTAGCCCATAATGTAGCATTAAATTGTACTAAAGTGCGGAGGATTGATAAAGCTAAATCCCAAATATGTTCGACAAGGCTAATGGTGATGATACTGATGAATCACTCCACCTTAAAAGCTCTTAATAGAATTATTAAAACATACATAATTTGTAATACTAGGGCGATAACAGCCCTTCATTAGATTAATGGCTTGTGTATCCCTCTCCTCTAAAGGCTGGAATGAAGTACTCCGTTTCGTTAACATCTGGCATGGCAAAAATTTTCAGCTCATCAGTTTGATAATATCAAAATCCTACAATAACAAATCTGAAGCTCCTCCTTTTCATTTATATTCTGAAAGAAAAAACAAATAAGTTTCATATAAATTATCAAGCCTCGCGATTGATTCACAGTGTTTTTGATCGATACTGTTTGAGCACCATGAATCTGAGTCTGCTTTATCTTCAAAATTTGAAATTTCCTCAGGTGAAAGGATTGCTGAAAGAGAAGAGGCTGGAAATGCTTGTTGATCCTGATCTACAGAGCAACTATGTGGAGGCCGAGGTAGAGTCCCTCATCCAGGTGGCCCTCCTCTGCACACAGGGGTCCCCAATGGACCGTCCAAAGATGTCGGAGGTGGTGCGAATGCTCGAAGGCGACGGCCTTGTTGAGAGATGGGAGGAGTGGCAGAAAGTCGAAGTCTTTCGGCAGGAGGTAGAGTTGGCCCCACATCGCAATTCTGATTGGATTGTTGACTCCACAGACAATCTCCATGCTGTTGAATTATCAGGTCCAAGGTGAAATCAAGGGGACCATCAGGAACTCATTTATAATTGTTTCTTTGCCCCCAGGTGCTAAAGGCAAGGGCTTCATCATCTACTACAGCTAGTTGTCGATAATGATTTGTAATGTTTTATTTTATTTTATTTTATTTTTTCCCTTTATTTATCATGCCATGTTTCCATTATCTTTCTTTCACTAAGCTAATTGCTTAACTGGCAAGTGAGCTAATTACAATGCCGTTTATGACCTGTTTTAACTCTTTCAATTGTAGTTAATATTTTTGAATGGCTAACAAGTTTGTTTTAGTTGTTTTCTGGCCATGATTTATGCAATTTTGCTTTTAATCACATTCATAGAAATTTGTTAATGAAAAATGTTAATGGTCTTAAAACTTGATTTTTTGTTTAGTGGTAAAGAACTTAGAACAAATCACATAGATTATTAAGCTCTCTCAGAACCAAGTTGAAGCTATTGAAGAGCTTTGGATGTTCTGAAGCTGAAATAAATGTCTTTTGTGAACATCTGAGAAGAAGATGAAGAATTTGATGGAGTTTTATCTTATTTTATGTTACTGTAGCCTCAGCAGTTTGTGCTGCCATTTACCTTATTGTATATGAGAACCTTTAAAACTTATGAATTATTTAGGACTACTTTTTTATTGTTTATTAAAGTAGATTTTTAGTATAATATTTTTAATTTTTGTATTAAAATTTTATTTTAAGAAACCAGTAAATAAGTCATTACAAACGAAGTCTTAATCTTCAGTTGCATTTGGTCATCACCATTTCCGCTTGAGAATCAAATGTTTGTCATGAATTAAAATTAAATATTAAAAAAATATATGTTTCTGCCTGAGAATCAAATGTTTGGTAAACAAAATTTAGAAATATTACAGCATGCCTATTTCTTTTATCAAATACCTCAAATTAGTTCTAAAATTAGTCTAATTGTAGATCAATGTCCATAATTTTGTATTTTTTTCGAAAACAATTCTATAAAAAATAAACAATTTTCATTTACCAAAGCCTTCCTACCTAGGCCCATAATCAATATACTATTACACCTTTTTTAGTTTTAAAGGGAACTTAAATAAAAATAACTAACCAAATGAGCATAAAATACCGTTATAAAGTTGTATGGAGATGGAAATAACATAAAATTTTATTAATTGCATATTTAAAAGTTAAATAGAACTAATTTGAAACTTATTTTGATAAAAAAAATCCCCTTTTTTTTCCTTATTCAAGCACTCTATAATAAAAATATAATTGCATGGAATAGAGTCAATCATCTTTTAAATTTAATGCTTTTGGAAATTTATAATAATTTTAATAAAAAATTAAAAATCACTTTAATTTTCAAACTCTGAATTTGAAAAAGTGGCGGAGCAGATTAGGAGTTTTTGTACAAAGCGGTGACTTGAATCTTGCTCTACGTTCTAACCCTAGCACTCAAACCCTAACCTAAGAACGAATGAACTTGTCGAGAGACACAGAGAAAGAGCGCGATGCAGATAAAAGACTCTTCCTTTCTCCCGTAAGCCTAATTTTCATCCTCTATTCTGCTTAAAACTATGATTTTGCTAAGCAGAAAGCTCTTTCACTTCCACCGCTCCGCCGCTCACGCTCCCACCCACTTGCCCTCCTTCCATCTCCCGATCCTCTTCTCCTTCTCTTCTACTGCAGAAAACTCATCCGTTAAATCCACATTCATGGTCGATTATCTCATCGGCACGATTGGTCTGTCATCGGAGGCAGCGATCAAATCATCTAAATCCCTCTCCCACGTCAAATCCCCTTCCAAGCCAGATGCCGTTCTTCATTTCTTGAAAGAGAGCGGTTTTAATGACGCCTGCATCAGATACATGGTTTCCAAAAATTCCAGAATTCTCACCGCAAAGGTCGAGACCACCCTGAAGCCAAAGATGATCGCTTTGAAGAAGTTTGGTTTCTCTGAATCAGAAATACTCCAACTTGTTTCTAAAAATCCAGTTTTTCTAATCCACGGAGGTATTCAGTCCAAGATTAAGTTCTGGAGGGGCTTCTTGGGTTCCAAGGAGAACCTCCTTCATGCTCTGCTTCGAGGCAAACGCCTTATATGCTCCAATCTGGATACCAATATCATTCCAAAAATCTCATTTTTGAGGGATTGTGGCTTTCTCGATAATCAGATTGCTTCTATGATAAACAACAATCCCAATTTCATCGTCATGAGCCTTGATTCAATCAAAAGGCTCAAAAATCGAGCGGAAGAATTGGGATTTTCTTATGGATCTGGAGCATTCTGCAGCGTGATGGTTTCTCTCTGCCAGATTAGTAGAGCAACCATGGAATCCAAGTTGAATCTACTGGGGAGCTTCGGGTGGTCTGAAGCTGAAGTCTCTTCGGTCATCAGAAAGGCTCCTCTTCTGTTAGAAACTTCTGAGAAGAAGATGAAGAAGATGATGGACTTTCTTGTAAAGCGAGCAGGTTGTGAGCCTTCCTTCGTGATGAAACATCCAAGGCTTCTGATGTTTAGCTTGGAGAGGAGGATGGTTCCACGGCAATATGTTCTGCAACTCCTCAAGTCAAAAGATCTGATTAAAAGAAAACTCAGCTTTTATTCATTCATGACCATTTCTGAGAAGAAGTTCTTGGAGAAGTATATTTTGTCTTATGGCGAGAAGATGCCAGACCTCTATCAAGTTTATCTTGCTCTTTATTCTGGTAATTCAACTGTTTAGCTGCTCTTGTTTTGTTTTGTTTTTTTTTAAAATTAAATGGCAATGAGAAAGTATTTGTTTCGATTGAAGGGAAGTGCAGGAGATGAAGTATTTCAACTTTTTTGTTTTCTGAGAAACCAAACATAATCTATGTACATATATATATGAAGCAAACATGAAATTGAGAGAGCATAGAATGCCCCTACTTTTCTAGTTCATTAGAGACAATTTAGCGGAGAATTTCCATGCAAACTTTTGATGAATCCCTTACCAAATATTGAAATTCAGAAAATTTTTTATCATTTCAGCAGTTTCTGAGACACTAGACTTCTGTACTGCATACAAAATGAATCTATTTCTACAAATTTAAGCCTTCAAATTTATAGAGTATGCGTTGATGGATATAAGGATGGAAGAATTATAAAATTTCAAATGGTGTTTTGAACCTTCATTTAAGCTATCTGAACGCTGAGGCTGAAGTAGCTTTAACTTTTCAAGTTGGTGTGATATTTGCATTTTGTGGAATGATTTCGAAGCTGGATTGCTTCCTATTTTTATGCAACGAAGCTATAATTGTTCGAGGCTGCAACCCACTTCATTGCTTCACTGGATAATGTATATCATATTGCAGCTCTTCCAAAGGAGAGATTATTACGTCCGGTGTTCGGATCGTTTGGAGGCGAATCCGGATGAATCACATGATGATGTGATGCGTCCGAATTCGCCTTCGAATGAATCCAGACGCTGCACGTAATAATGTTCCCTTCCAAAGACCGGGGAAGATGTGCAGGCTTCTAAATAGTCCTTCAATGCTTCTTCTAAGGCTAAGGTAGATACCTCACATGCTTACAAGTAAAAATTCTCACGAGTGAGGCATTGGAGGAAAAAAAACATATTAATTTTTTATCAAACGGCTCATCTTTAATATTCTCAGTGATTTTGTGGCACGCACTTTCTAGCAATCTTCAGGAACTTATATTTCAATGTTTTTATTAGAGATTGTAGCCCATTTTGATCACCATTAGGTCTCCACCAAAGTTCAAAAGAACTTTAGCTTGATGTAACTAAGCCATAAAGGATTTGTTGTTTGCATAATGTTTGCTCATAAAAGAAACCCTTAGGGCATCTCCAACCGAAAATTTCATTTTTCACTCCAAAATGTAGTGAAACCAAAAAATACCGTAATTCATCTCCAATCGAACGTCATTTTGCCCCCTAACCGTCGCTCTCTTCTTTCGCGCCTTTCTTCCGCAAGTTTGGTAGAGACAAAAAAATGACGCAGATGAACAGTGCGATGCCAATATTGGCGTCACACTGTTCATCCGTAATCAAATGACGGAGGAAAAGGCGTTCGGTTGCAACGTTTGAAGGCTTCCATCCGGTTGTTTGTCGAACGATTAGAAATGATCTTTATTAGAGATGGTCTTAGGTGTAGACTTCTCCATCGCTAAGAAGAAAATTTGAGAGGTAAACGTAACTAGTGGAAATTCTAATCTAGTTGTTAGCTAGATGTGTATTCAGATCTTAGGGTTGGTCGAATCACATAGATATTATGATCTCTGATGATCTATATTTTAATTTACTTTTCTTGCATTTTATTTACATGCACGTTTAAAATAAATTGATTTTGTTATAATTTCTAAATAGGTAATGTAATATTTTCTTGTGGTAAGATGAATAAAATTAAATCATAATATTCAAATCATGATATGATAATATGATGCCTGACATGAATGTAATATTGTATTGTGCAAGATTGAGTCAAGTTTAGGCTTGGCGATTAAACCTTGTAGGAATTTATTCAAGGAGTGAGTCAGGTTGATAGCAACTGTACAATATTAATCAATCCTTAAATTTAATAGATATATCATTTTGAAATTGTACACCAAAAGACAACATGTAAAAGCGTCTTCAAATATCATCAAACCTATTTTCCTCCACATGAAACAGCACCTAGCTTAATGATTAGTATGCAGCATTCGTGGCCCAATCTGTGCCTCACTCGAGAGATTATTCTGTGCGGACACCGGACAGACGGGAGAACTGTCCGGTAACGCTTGATACTGCACTGTGATGTGGCACACTGTTGTTGGTCTCTGGATGGCGTCCGAACTCTGCACGGAATAAAAATTCTGCCAGCTCCCTTTCCTAAAGAGCTTCAACAATCAAGACATTCCAAAAGCTCTCGAGCAAAATCTCCTTTCTCCAAGCCGCAGAATAAGGTTTCCCTGCCAGTTCAAATTTGCAACTCTATTTAACTACTAGCCTTGCAAGAAATTGAATAAACCAAAACTGTAATGTAAATGACAGCAAATCAACACCTTTGCAATTGCTCCGGCAGCTGCTTCATTAATATATAATCCTTCCATCTGTCTTCATCAAACTTGCCTTTCATGATATTCATAGATGACAATAGTACTGATATCATCTCATTGGTTTATTGGTATCCAATATGATAAAAATTCAAATTTGTAATGCAACAATGTATTGATCTATATACACCTATATATTGACAAGTTCTAGCATGATCTTCACATGAAAATTGAGTGTCAACCATTAGATGATGTGTAGGCGTATAAAGTAATTTGTAAACTGAATTTCCATTTATATTTACATTTTTTTTATAAATCTTAAGTAAAGAGGAAGCTGACAAAGAAACAAACTTATGGTAGCCCATGTAACTGAATCGAGCTTACCGGGTTGTCCTCATTCACGTGAACCTTAGATTTTGTTTGTGACGACTTTTTTACTACTTCTTAAAGCAACTTTCTAGTTAGTCTTTAATTTGTAACTGGATCAAGTATATCAGGTACCTCCCTGTTAATTGATGGATAGGTCTTTAATCTGTAAACCTGAAATGCATTTTGAAAATTAGTTTGTGAATGTTCCTAACAAGAAATTTATCAGCAGGCAGTTTTTTTAATCTTTAAACCTAAAATGCATTTTGAAAATTAGTCTACGAAAGTTCCTTGCAAGAAATTTATCATCAGGAAGGTTTTTTTTACTAACCAGTGAAGTAACTAATTTGCTCTCCAAATAGAATTTATCAAGTTATAAACCATATGAAAAAAAAAAAACTTCTACGCAGCTTCTTCCTCGTCCTAAGCAATTAATAATACAATATTTTATATTGTTTTGAACCTCTTGATATTTTGATGAGTCATAAACATTTTAGGTAATTTCTGTTATTGCAAGCTGTCAACTGATTATCAAATGTTGTGAAAGGGATTTGGCCATGAAGATGTCAGTCCGGGAGAAACTGCCATCTATAAAGCCTCTCGCAGATTGCTCAGCGGTTAACTATGTAATTAACATGAAGTGCCCGACATTAATTTTAAACCATTGCATATAGGTCAATGGTATTTCGAGTATAATATCATGCATTACTATATCAACACAAATCATAACGAAGAAATTAAGGAAATTTTGAATTAAAGAAATAAATTGAATGGTTACATTGCATATACAGGTTTACCCTAAAAATGAAAATAATTGTGCTGCAGTTTCGTGAGATATTTTGTAACTAAACTCTCAATGAATACCTCAAGTTTGCAATTAGGAAGCTAGGGCAAGAAAGAATTCTTTATGTGGAATTTCAAGCATTTAAATAGGCATTTACAGCAGAAATTGATGCAGGGCGGTTTATTTTGATGTATAATTGAGTGTAGAGAGAGAAATAAATGAAGGGATATTAGGTTTCAGGTGTTCAAAGTAATTGTTTTCAGAAATGTGGAAAAAAATAACCATAGTTCAATTACGATGCATCCAAATGTCGCCTAAATTAGGTGAATTTGATATATGGTCTACTTGTTCACAATCTCAGACATCACATGAACCAGAGACCTCACTCTCAAAGTTATACAGAGCTACTATTATCATCATCCCGTCGACACCATGTCACGATTACATTGCCATCGTGATCAAATAGTCATCGCGATCTCGTTATTGGCATTGTGATCAAATAGTCATCACGATCTCGTTATTGACATCTCGCATCAACCCCGATCCAACACTAGTCGTCCATGCCTTCATTATTCAATAGCATGATCTCGCAAAGATGACCACAAACAACTGATCCGATCCAACACTAGTCGTCCATGCCTTCATTGTTCATGAGCATGATCTCGCAAAGATGACCACACACAACTGATCGCACCTTACACAACCACCATCTATTGTGTCCTAGGCAAATTTTGTGACTTTATTTTATAATCAATGAAACACAATAAATAGAATTTCAAGAATTTATTTTATAACAAAGCAAACCTAAAGCAATCAAAATGCAATACACTCAATTTACACTGCATTTGAAATATCCATCTATCCTAAATACTTGCAATTGAAAACCCCATAATTCATAACTAAATAAAAATTCCTACGAAAGAGTTTCTTAGGAGAAGTGAGCTTAAATCATTGACTGACTCAATCGTTCACTCCAAGGATTGATCCTTTCTGGCTTTTTCTTTATCAATGTTTTGGCCTCCAAAATTAATATCACAACAATTTCATGCACGGCAATGTAATACAATCCAGTACAAGTATTTCATGCTCAATGAAATCCCAAATCAGATACATGATATATCCCAATCTTTTCTTAAAGGCATTTAAACAAATATATGCATCACCCCCACTAGATATTTGAAAAATACTGCACGCCTTGACTAAAAATTTACATCACTGGAATTCAACAAATCGACTTGAAATAGATTTAGAACCTCAATTGAATGATTAACGCAATGAACAAAAATAAAATGCAAGAAACCATACCCAATGAAATATTTTAGATTCTTGGCACAAAGAATGCTCAACAGCTAAACTTCATCCAATCCTGCAGAGATTTACATGAGAATAATAGTATCATGAGAATTGAAATAGACATTTCATAATAATTGTGTATATCATGATTGTATAAATGGTGGCCACTAGGAGTGTAAATGAGTGGAGTACCCTCCACTTGAGATCCAGCTCAATTCAACTTGTTCAAGCCACCCATCACTCGGGTCTTCACATTAAAGAGAATAAAAATTCAAGAAGTTCCTACAATGAATCAATGGAAAAAATGAGAAATCCAAGGAGAATGAATTTAGTAATTATGGGAAGAAAAAAGATAAATTAGAAGTGAAAAAGAGAAGTATAGTTTTAGGACTTTTAATACTTTTTAATTCAAAATCTCAATTTCTAATATTTTTGTGTACAGTCCATATTAACATTTTTAAGCAACCAAATGAACTGCATTAAGGCTACCTCAAGTTACGTATGTCAAGCTTGGTTCAAGTGCCAAGCTCAGATCAAGCTTATGTGACTAACCAATTTAATGATAGCCAACACATAACATACAATTAATGAATCTTTTTTAAGGGGGAAGAAAACATACTATAATCTATTATGATTCACTACCCTCACCTTCATCAATCTATCTATATATATATATATATATATATATCCATCAAAAAGACAAGTGTACTATATAATTCAGTAATCACCTATTGCCTATCTTTCAAAAAAAAAAAAAAAAACAGGCATGGAAGCCTTAGTTCCAGATAAAACAGGGCATGGAAGACTTAGTTCCAGATACAACACGGTGAATATTCTGCACCAAAGGTGAAATCTGAATTTAATCTGGCATACACACAAGTTTATAAAACCAATGTGGCAACATTATTAGTAAAATAAGGAATCATTGTTCCGCAGAAAACCAAAGGGCAGACACCTGCAGAGCACTGGAAATGCCGCAGATAGAGTCCAAAGACTTTGCACAGAAGAAACCATGTTTATTGAAGCTGAAAAGATAGACCTTGACAAATAAAAATACGCACTATGAATATTCCAGCAAGCCTCATACCAGTAAAATTTAGGTATCAACCAAAATCTCAAAAACAAACAACTGAGGGGCTTGCATATAGATATATTTCCAAAAAATAATCCCAAGCAACAAATTTGATCATAAAATCCATTGTTAAAATAATATTCCACCGTTAAACATAAAGTGTGGCAGAAGAATATTTCACTAATTGCATCGAAGCTTCAAATTTGATTGCCACAAAGTAGATAAAAGTCCATATGAATATAACATTACCAACTGGAAAGCAAAGGATAACTGAAAAATAGTCTGATACAAAACCCTTCAAGTGTAAAAAGACTTTAACAATAGATCAAATCTCAAACCAGTGCATCATACAAATGGCAATAAAACCAAAAGAAAAGGGCAATCCTCCTGAAGAACCGCGGCACTGAATGCATCCATAATCCCATCACCAATACAGTTTCAAAAGCCATCGAATCTTTAAACCAGATGAGTAATCACGCTCGACATTGAACTAAAAGAAAAACAGGAAACAATTAGCAAACAATCAAATAAATTCCTCTTAAAAATTTCAACAAAACCAATTAAAAACTTAACATTCAACTTTCACTTTAAATATTACAAATACAAGGTATGATAGAATAGTAAATTGACGCATTTACCTAATGAAGACCATAACCACCCATAGAGCCCATTGAAGATCTTTGCGCTGCTGCATTACCCGTATTTCCGCCCTGATGTGTGCCCACTTGGGGTATACTCCCCTGAAAACCTGATGCACTTTGGAATCCTGGCGGCCCTTGGAATCCAGGAGGACCTTGAAACCCAATATTCTGATACCCAGAGCTTCCCATTGCATATCCCTGCATTGGGACAGCCCCTTGTTGCTGTGTCACTGCTGCTGCTGCCTGCGGAAGTGCAGCTGGAGTTGCCCCTGCAGCCAATGCCATAGCAAGAGCAGGGTTTAAAGAAGCAAGCATTGCCGGAGTGACGCCAAAACCAGCTGGGTTCTGGCCTGTGGCTGCCAACATAGCAAGGACAGCAGCATTTGCAGGCATAGTTTGCCCAAGCAGCCCCTGTCCTAGCATTACTGCCTGCTGTGCCAGCCCGATGTCTGATTGGGCAACTTGCCCGCCGTAAGCAGACCCATTGTAACCAACATAGCTCGCTGGAACATTTGGCACAGTAGCAGCTGAGCCATCAGCGTTGTTACTAACCGGTGCTGATGTCTTTGCCTTGTTGCTATCAGTAGCCTTCTGACAGACAAGGTGATGTCCCTCAAAGTTCTTATTAGTCTCTTCCAAAGCCTTTCTTGCTCCCTCAGAAGTTTTGTACAAGAAAATTGCAAAGCCCTTAGACTTACCTGTGTGGCGATCGAACCCAAGCGGCCCTTCCTCGATCTCTCCATACTGAGAGAAGAACGCGTGGAGGCGGCGACCGTCGATATCGGAGTGCACGTTGCCAACGTAGATCTTGCGTGCAAGGTTATCGCCATGGTTATGGTTGGGGTTAGAATTATGGAGATAGTTAGGGTTAGGGTTCGGGGTGGGGCCATTGCTTGCTAGCTGGCACGATGCCATTCGGTTGTCGATGAGCTTTTGGGGTTTGCAGAGGGCACGACGAGCAGAGGAGCGGTGGCGAAATAGGATGAAACCGTATCCCTTTGATCGGCCGGTTGGTCGGTCGAAAACGACGCGGCTCTCAACGATTTCTCCATAGCGAGAAAACGCGGCGCGGAGACCGTCAGATGTCGTGTTCCAGTCGAGGCCGTGTACGAAGAGCTTGCGATGAGAAGGATCGACGTCGGCTAGGGCGCGAATCTCGGCGAGTGTGGCGGAATCTCGAGCTGCCGCTGAAACGAGAAGTGAGGAAAGCTGATCGTTAGAGAGGGGGTCAAGAAGCTTGCGGACGTCTTCTTCCTCCTCATCGTAGTCGTCCTCCGAGTCCGAAGCGCTATCGCCGGCGCCGGCGCCGGCGCCACCGGGTGCACCGGTCTCGTCGTCAGGCTGGCGGATATACTCGACGGCTGAATGATGAGGCTTCGTATCAGTGCCTTGATTGGGAAAGAAGCGATCGGAGTCTTGTTCGGCTTTTCGCTTCTTGAGGGATGCCATTGGGACGGCGTAGGAAACCCTTGCAGGCGAGATCCGGCGAGGATTGATCGAGACCTTTGTCTAGGGTTTTGGTTCGTGATCTAAGAGAAGATTTAAATTGGAAACATTTTCTACATCAATCTCAAAATAATATTTAAAATTTAAAAATTTTAAATTAATTTTAAGATGATATGAATTTAGATTACAACAAATTTATAATCGAAGTTATTCGGATAAGACGAACTCAATGACAACACAAATGATCTAGTTCGACTCCAAATAGACCCAAATCAAGCACTTGAACACACTTGAAAACTTATAAGCATCAATTGAAGAAAAGAAATAAAATCCAAAACTTGCATGGGTATAATCAAATTGAGCGTCTCAAACAATATGAATTTAACAAATCTAAAATCATTTCATCTTGACATCAGAAAGACACTTAAGTGATAGATAAATAATGGAGTGGATTAATATAGATCGTTTGATGAAGTGTTTTGGATTAAGAGTGAATGTATCTCTTTTAAAAAGTCTATAAATATGATATTATTCTCTATATGGAGTGGATATCATTACGGATATCATTACTATGTTTGCTTCATTGATGACTTTTCCAAATATATGTGGGTATATCCTCTCGTTCAAAAATCCAAAGTTTTTTATGAATTCCTAAAATTTTAGAAAATGATTGAACTACAATTTCAGACTCACATTCACATGCTTCGTACAGATGGTGACGGTGAATTCATCAATAATAAATTCAAAACTCACCTAAATGCTCACAACATTCTTCATCAATTTACCTGTCCTTACTAATCATCTCAAAACGGTGTGGCCGAACGTAAACACCGTCATATAACCGAGACCATCTGCACTTTACTTATAGAAGCTTCCCTTCCATTATATCTTTGGGTTGACACTCTTCTAACTGCTATCCATCTAATCAACCGCCTTCCCTCCCCAATACCTCCAACAAATTGCCATATGAGATCCTTTACAGAAAACAACCCACATACAACAACCTAAAAGTTTTCGGCTGTCTTTGTTATCCGTGGCTCAAACCCTACTCCACACACAAATTTTCCCCTCTGTCTCACCCGTGTGTCTTTATCGGTTACACACCGGCCCAAAAAGGATATCGGTGCTTTGATCCTACAACCCACAAAATTTACATATCTTGTCACATAGTCTTTAACGAAGACATATTTCCATTTACACAATTCTCAAATCAACATAGCAATATCACAAACTCATCTCCCATAATACCTCCTCTGCTTCTTGTTCCAACAAACGGTCTGCCAGTATCAATCAACAATTCCATCAGCTCGCATATCAATTCCAATGTCTCAACCAATCATGCATCTTCATATTCATCTCTACCTGTTCCTATCAATTCCATTCAACCAGCCACATCTTCCACACAACAATCCAGTCTGTCCCCATCCAACTCCGCTTCTCCCATCAACGATCACACCTCACAACCTACTACATATCACATGCTCACTCGATCCAAGATAGGACATTCCAAACAAAAACACATTTTTAATCTTTTTCATCTCCTTCATCATACTGAACCCACTACCTACAATCAAGCTGTCAAAAGCGAACACTGGCGTTCCGCCATGTCTTAGGAATTTCAGGCGTTACAAATGCAAGGAACATGAGATCTTGTTCCACCTCTTCCTAATCGAAATGTACTAGGATGCAAATGGATATACATGACCAAACTCAACACGGAGGGCACCGTAGCTAGATACAAAGCTCGGCTAGTCGCACAAAGATTCAATCATGAACACAGAATTGACTACACCGAAACCTTCAGCCCCGTCGTAAAGATCCCCACTGTCCGCATTCTCACCCTAATCACTCTGCATTCTAACTGGGATATTCATCAACTAGACGTCTCCAACGCCTTTTTACACAGTACTCTATTCGACACCATATACATGCACCAACCACCAGCTTTTAAGACTCTCTACATCATACCCACGTCTGCAAATTAAAGAAGGCTCTAAACGACCTCAAACAGAACAGCCTCAAACAGTCTCCACGCGAATGGTACGCAGCTCTATCCACTCACCTCCAAACATTCGGTTTTACTTTTAGCAACGCTGATCCATATCTTCTCACATATAAATCGGGCTCAAATCGTATGTATATTCTAATCTACGTTGATGATATACTACTCACCGGTAACTCTCCCACGGAGATCAAATGACTTCTATATAGTCTCCAAGACTGCTTCCAAATGTGCAATCTTGGATCTCTAGCTCACTTTCGAACCATCCAAACAACTCCCACATCTTACGGAGTGCTACTTCACCAACAACAATATGCTAAAAGAATTATGGAACGGACAGGTATGCAAAACTCCAAAGCTGTTTCTACTCCCATCTTCTGCAAAATCGATTCTTCAACCTGCTGCAGCATCGACTTCTCCAATCCTCAACTCTATTGTCACCTGATCGGATCACTTCAATATTTGACTCTAACACACCCTGACATCCAATTCGCGGTGCATAAATTAAGTCAACATATGCACGATCCCCTTAATAGCAACTTCAACGCTCTCAAAAGACTCCTTCGCTACATTCAAGGTACAACAGACAACGGCATCCCGCTGCATCGTGATCATCTCAAACTACAAGGCTTCGTCGACGCCGACTAGGAAAACAACACTCAAGACTACAAATTCATCTCAAGATGCTGTAATTTTTTAGGCAAATCCTTAATCTCATGGAAAGTCAAAAAGCAAAACACTATGGCTCGATCATCCAAAGAAGCCGTATATCAAGCTCTGGCAACATAAGCTTCTGAAGTCATTTGGCTTCGTCGTCTCCTAGAGGACTTTCATATTCCTCAAACAACTCCCACTACAATTTTCTGCTTTAACACATCCGCAATCGCACTTGCCAACAATCTGGTTTACCATGCCAGAACCAAACACATCGACGTGGACTGCCACTTCATTCTAGATTGCATTCAGTCCAAACATTTGACCGTCCATCACATATGTACCAATGATAAAGTCGCCGACGTCTTCACCAAGCCTCTACCAATACGCATGTTCAAATTTCTAAGCAAACACATCGACGTCTTCACCAAGCCTCTCCCTTTTTATCTAATTAGAGGGATTTAGAATGCACACTTTAAGAAATATTTTGATATATTATGAATTTGTCCGAATCAAAAGAATTTGGAATACAACATCTCATAAAACAAATTGCTACCTCGTTGCAACCCATATAATGCAACCACATCATTGCAACTTGGTGTGACCTCAAGAAACCCATTATGATACTGATAGCAATCTAATGGCACATTACGACTCGTTGCGATCTCACCCATTAACACTGGTTCCATTCATACGCCATCTTTGTTGCTCAGCTTATAATCATGAAAGATCATACAACCTGAAGTTGGAGAAATTATTCTATACGGATATCGGATGCAGCTCTTCGTCCGGATGCAGCAATACAATAAAAGGGTGACATTGTGCATTTTGATTGGTCTCTGGACCGCGTTTGGCATCCGCACCGAATAATTTTTCTTAAAGTTGGCATCAAAATAAGGAAGAATAATCTATCTCCGAGAAGGAAAGGAGTTACTATTTAAATGAATTGAATACAATTATAACATATTTTTGTATCTCATGAGTGGGGCTATGCAAGATATAAACATAAATAAAATAGGACAACCACTATCTTGGGATGAGAGTAAGTACTAGATATGACGATAAGTTGACAAGGGGATGATATGAGAGCAGTAGAAAGGCTAACTAGAACATTATCTAAAAATCAAAGATCTAGAAGTATCTACAATCTCAAAGTCTAGAATAATCATGATGAGAAGAATAAACATCACTTTATCTAACATTATTTTAAATAATATTGAAATGTTCTTTCTTGTTATCAATAATCATTGGACTAGATCATGCACGCCCCTTTCTGATCATTGTACACTTCTAAGTTCAAAGTGCATCACATTCAATCATAACTTGCATAAAAATTATGCTTGATTAGTTTGAGATTTTCACGATCTCAACAATATTATATACATAAATGTTGATTGCAATTTTAGCAATATATTGTACTTGAATAAACATACAACATCAATAAAGGAAGTGTCATCTTCCTAAAAATAAAAACAATAAAAAAGTTGTCAAATACACAAATGATTTGAACCCAAATGAAGAATCTTTTAAATTGTGTATGGTTATTTTTGATACACTAAGCCTCTTAAAATAGCAAAAGAATCTTTAACGTACAAATAAAAAAAAGTAGTGCTAGTGCTTAGTTTGGTGATTTCAATTTGCTCCCTTGTTGGAGCAATATTTATATAGCTATTATGTTATTTTCAACCAATCTTCTTTTAGGAATGGTTTTATCATAAGTTGTTTTGGAATTTCTTCTGCCAATGAATTTGGTAACACACTATTAGGAAAATGATCCATTACTTCTTTTCTTGTGCAATAGAATTACAACAACAACATCAAGTCTTTATCCCACTATGTGGGGTCTGCTACGTACATGAATCCTTTTCTCCAGTGTGTCATGTTAAGAATTAAATACTCATTTAAATCTAATAAAGAAAGGTCATTTCTAATATTTTCTAACCAGATCTTTTTAGGTCTACCTCTACCTTTATAACTTAAGTCAAATTTAGTTTCCTAATCGAGTCATCAGAAGGCTGCCATTTTATGTGACCAAACCATCTAAGGAGACTCTCTAATCTTATATTCTACTGGATCTACTCCAACCTTTTCATGTATAGCTCATTTCGTATCCTTTCTCCAAGAGTAAAGTCACTCATCCCCCTAAGTATCCTCATCTCTGCAACGCTTAACTTAATAGTATGCTTGTAAAGACCATTTTGCTCCCAGGTTCTTCCGGACGAAGTTGGATCGTCCGGGACGATCGGTACAGGTTGTGCAGGAAAACATGTTTGGCTGCATGGTTCGTCTGGACGAAAGTCGAATCGTCTGGACGAAAATCGTCCCGAGAGCAGATCATACGGGACGATAATTAATTTCGTCTGGACGAAATTTGTCCAGAGCCCAAGTCGTCCGTGACGATAATTAATTTCGTTTGAACGAAATTTGTCCAGAGCCAAATCGT